GGGCCCGGGTCGAGGTTGTCTCAGTTGTCGTGAATGGGGGTAAAAAGGAAAGGAGGGCGGGCAGGATATTTGGGAAACTGGAGCTGTTGAGGAAGGCACTACTAGTCTACTATCTGCAAGCTGCTTGGCGGCTGTCGTGCTGGTTGGCTGGCCGGGTCTTACACGGGTCATGTCGAGCCCAGGTTGCTGGGTTGCGACTTCCTCGCACTGTCCCCGACTCCCCGCGAGCGTGGAGCTGGAAGCTTTACGCGACCCAAGCCCTCGGGAACGGGGGACTGTGAAAGCACTCGGAGTGGTGGTAGACACTGGTTCGAGACTGGTGTGCCAAGCGCCCTGGCGCCAGCTTTTGGGGGGCCACTTCCCATACCGTTGGTGTGCGACGGGCTACCGAACCTGGGCTACCTACCATGGAAGCAATGGAAGCCAGACAATCAGCCTAGCAATCACTATCTAATTACCGTGTAGTAGTGTATGCAATTCCAACAAAGGGCCATTCAGTCAGTCATCGCACCATCATCAGTAGTCTGAAAAGTTCCGTCTGATCTCCAAAGTTCTGCACCAGACGGCAAAGTTGCCGCAATTGCCCTCATCCTTCCCCGCCGGGGGCAGCAGGGTTATTAGATAGTGCATCTGCCTACCTATAACAGAGGGCGGCGGCGGCAGTGCGGCGGGTGCAGGAGCTGCTTTGGAGGGAGGAGCTTACCACAGAAGGGAGCAATAGCGAAAGGAAAAGGAGTGACTGGCCGACCGATGCGAGGGTGATGAGAGAGGGGGGGGGCGATGGGGGGCTGGCTGGGTTTGACTAGCTCTGACCCACTTCCTGCAAGTGTGAGTGGTCCGGCCCTTCGGCTCCAAAGAAGGCAGACAGGCAGGCAACTGGGACAATTGGACATGGTAGCCATTCAGAGCACGCCTTGCAATCTTGCGCAGAACGCCTCAATCAACGCCCCGAGCGCCCCTCCATTTGCTCACACTGTCGCACACTGTCCACAGCAATTTTCTTGCATAACTGACCACATCCCCCATCTCCAGGTCCCGAAAACGAAAAGCAAGCGACCCAACTGCTTCTTCATTGTGCCTCTGGGTAAAGATGCACAGTGCGCTAACCAAAACAACGGCACACTGTGGCGCACGATGAGCCATCTTCCCAGTTTGGCCTCGGGTTCCATCCATGGTCCCAAGACTCCTCTCAGTCCCAACGTCTTTGGGATTTTTATGTAACGAGGCCAATTCAATTCACCGTCGTCCTAGTCCATTTCACCCATTCCACTGGGTCGTCTCATCAGTCGTCGAATCTTCAACATGTGTTGATTGTTTATACAAGGATCTGCCTGAGTAAGACAGCCGTCAGCTTTTTAGCTCTGCCAGGAGAGCCAGGCTCTCCGCTGGCTCGGCTGGCTCCTCCCTTGGTCCCCCCAGAGTCCCACTAAGATTACCCAAGCTGGGGTTCAATGTTTCATTCGTCACGGGTCCCTCGATGGCCCTAGGAACCCTACAATGTGACGAACCCGCCCCGTTAGCAACTGACTCGCGATCGGGAGGCCTAATGGGCCTTTTCTTCACGTCTCCTGTCGGGCGGCCCTATTCCCACTTTTTCCCTTTTGATGGGGAACTCTTTAAATGTGGACTTGGAGGGGGACAGTCCTATGACAACAACATGTGATTTTGCTGCTTTATCGTCTTATATTTCCCTTTTCCATCTTAACAGCTCCGCCTTGCACGGATCTGCCCGTGATTGATACCTATTACATACGTAAGTAGGTACTCATCTCCATGATGGAGATGATGTACTCTGTAGATACCCAAAAAAAAAAAAAAAAGGTCAGGAACTTTGAACGCCGCAGGCCTGGTACACATGATTATGTATGCGTGCATACCTGGCTGTGCCAGATCTGGCTGGCCCGAGATCCCTCATCGACAATCCTTCACAAACCAAGCTCAAATGGCTGTGGCACAGCGCTGAGTGGGCAGGTCAGCTCGAGGTCAGATCATCACACCGCAAACATCGAAGCGCCGGTCCCCATCACACTTGTTTAGAGATAGAAAAGGAAAACAGAGAGAGAGAAATGCCTATCAGAGAGCAACAGTGGCATCAGGCTCGCATCCGGCTTCGGTGGTGGCTTTGTCTTTCGCTCACTACGGGATAGGCTGGCATTCTTCAGGTTTTGCCCAACGCCACGCTATGCAGTGAGCCCGGATTTCGCCTAGGGCTGAAGCTGCACATTTCCAGGTTATTGGGTCCCATGTTCTATCATTTTTCTTATTCCTCTTTTCTTTTGCTGCCTCTGTCATTTTATCCTTTTCATTCTCCCAGCAACCACCGTGTTCTGGGCCTTTGGAAGCAGCTCAAAGTTGGGTAAGTGTCAGTTATCCTACAGACTTCTTTCCAGCAGGAATCCAAAGAAACAAACACGGCAGCATGCACGTATGCGTTTGCCACCACCTCAAGTGTGGGAACAACGCCGTCACACGCGTACTGTGTAGCCATGTGTAACCAGCAGTTACAAACTTTTACCTCCTTCATCTCGGCTCCATGAGCCAGAGTTGTGGATTGCCCAACGGGATCTGGCCCGAACTGCTGGGCCAGGCACGTTTTCTCTCCACTCGGGTTGGACAAGTCGACATTGCTCGAGGCACAGTTCCCTATCATTACTGTGGATGACTGGAGCTCACGGGCGGTGGCTAGCTGTTTGCTTTGAAAGGGGTAATGGAGCGGGCGATCTTTTGACTATTTGCGCCAGGGGGGCGTTTTAAACTGCACACACACACACACATTATTTGTTTGATTCTAGAATAACCACTGGTTACCGGTTACGAATACGTCGTCTCGAACGCCTCCTTTACTAGGCTTCATTACGCACGACCCATATACTGTGTACAGTTCAAGACATCATGACTAAGGTAAAGAGGCGATATGCAGGCAACAGACTCAAGAAGAGGCTTTCTGATCTGCTGAATAACCTGCAAGGGGTCAGGCACTGTGGCCAAGTGCCACCAACTCGGAGCCAATGCGCCGAATGAGACAAGCACACGCGTCACAGAGCACGGCTACAACACACCATATTCCAGTACTTTTTATATTAAAACTTTCGCCGTGCTGCATCTGCCTCGAATCAAGGCATAACCATTGATGGAGGTCGTTCAATTTGAACACAGTAGCCGCCTACCTAGTGCCTTCCAGACACATGGGATGGTTGGGGAAGGAAAGTTCTTTGCCTTTCCTTGCAGCGACGATCCCCCACTGTATCGTCACATTGGATCGATTTAGCACTAGCCATATTGTAGTTTGACGGGGCAGACTGACACAGAGAGCAGCGCAGTGCACCGCAGCGCAGCATCCAAGGGCCCAAGGCCAGTGTGGAACTTTGTCCATTGCTCCCCTGCAAGCTCACCGGCCTACTGCCAGGCCAGGCCAGGCCAGAAACAGGGGCTAGGTTCGGACCTGAGCTGTTAGGCAGGCTTCCACTGGAACCATGTGTCTTCTTTTCCTCTTTCTTTTCTTTTGCTTGACTCTGACTCCGGAGAGTTGATTTTCTGCCTCCGTCTCTTGTCTCACACAGTGATGGGGTGGTATTTGTATGGAATCACAGTACGAGATACGGTAGTATTGTTCGTCTATTTGCGGACCTTCCATGTTGACAGCCAGATAGCCGGCCAGCCAGCTGTCATGAATTGTGTTTGTGCGGCGAAGCACATGCGCTCCTAACTTCTTTTGTTTCAGACCCCCATTTTCGTCCCATTCATTCCTTCACTTTCGGATCCTCTGACGTCGTTTCGCTTGGAGCCCTTAATTGGGAAGGAAGCTCGGAGGCATATTGACGATGGATAGGCCGGGGAAAGGGGCATCAAGATTACAATGGAGGCTGTGGACAATGGCTCTAAATCAACAACATGATCCTGCTCCTGTTTCTGCTTTTCCCTTTGCTCTCGAACATTCCCGATCCTCACCCTCTTCCGGTGCGCGGATACCCAATTGTTTATGACTCGTTGTCTTATTATCGTCAGATACGCACCGCTGGTTGCACATTACCGTCCATGGGTACGCGGCACGAGCCATGCACAGGCGGCGGTGCGGTAGCCCGGTATGCAGCTTGCCTGACTGACGCGGGGTCCTTGATTCCTTGTCGTCAATATGGTGCTGCAGCCAGTAGGTAAGTATTCCGATGTCAGGGTCGGCGATATGAAAGCTGTGTCATGATGCCAGGCGAGGCTTATCAGCATCATTGTCATGCTATTTACATAGTAGCATCAAAGAACCAACGGGATGACTTTCTGATCAGAGACAGCTGTGCCCGATTCACCTAATCACTCACCCCTGACTTCACTGCATGCCTTCGGATATTCCTCCTCGCTTCACAGTTGACAACATACCCTACGCTACGTCGTGGTACGGGAAGGCGTCCGGTATTCGGCGTCAGGGCTTAACCTTAGTCACGTCCATCGTTCTGTGCTAGAGCTGGAACAAATCGCGCACTGCTTACTGAATACCGTGGGAGCTATTGTAAAGATTCCAGAGAGTCATCAATAGATCAAGGAGGACTTGAATATAATCCCTTGTTTCTCTACCTTGCCTTGGTAGGTGAGATACATGAGAGAGGCGACCAGTGGCTCAGTGAGTCAACCGTACCATAATACTCCGCGTCAATATGTTTATAAACATATCTTAGAAGACTCAATGGTCGCCTATCTGGTACTTCGTACGGGAAAGATACTCTCTTGTGTAAGTACCTTATGTATGTTGCTAGTCTCAGAGTTAAGTGAGGACAATAATTTAGTTGAGCCAATGCAACGCCCAGCCAGTGGTTGTTGTTGACTTGTCACTATCGAAGTTCTTCTGGAGGGACTTCACATTTAAGAAAAAGAAAAAAGTCTGCGACATCTGTGCAATTATTCGGGTTTAACAGTCTGGGAGGTGTGAAAACGTTACGTGAAGAGCTGGTCTCGCTAACACGAGGGATGCCTGGAACGGCAAAAACGGAAGAAAAAAAAGAGAGCAAATTTCTCCTCGACCGGAATCGAGCCGGTGACCTTTCGGTTATGATTAAACCAATTACAGCCGAACGTGATAGCCAACTACACCACAAGGAGTTTGATTTGCTTGGTTGATAGTCACGCGCTAGTAATTCAAGCTATTACCTAAAACAGGCCCTCCTCCATCTGCGCACCTTGATGTCAGGCCCACCCCCAGCGCTGGAATTAGCGTCTGGCCGTCGTTGAATTGCGCCGCCATCATCGCACAACCTCAATTACTTGACTAGAAAGCCCAACAGCACTGTCCCTCAAATTCGCACAACAAAGACAACAAACACAATGACCTCGCGCATCAAACCCACGCGCTCCATGTTCATCCACGTGAATCCAGTCCCGACAGGACTGGCGCAGAGACGCGCCATCCTCGGCGCACTGAAACAGCACGGCGATATCCAAGTCTTCAAGCAGCTCGACGACCCTTCGACCTTCGTCTCGGTCGCCAGCACCCACATGTCCGCCGATGCCACCATCCGCATGAGCCCTCTGCAGTTTGACTATGCCCCCACCACCACCACCTTCACCCTCAGCATCTTTCGCGCCAAGCCATACCTGCACAAGCAAGTCATCGACTCGTCGCCTCTCCACGGCCCCTGGCCCGCGCCCGCCGCCCCGCCCTCCATCGCCACCGCCGCCCTGCGCGCCGCCATCCCCAAGAGCATGGCCTCCAGGTGCCTGGCGGACTGGGAGACGGGCAACGAGCAGCTCGTGAGATCGGTGAAGGGCCAGACGGTAGACGACCATGTCAAGCTGCGCGAGCAGCGCAGAAGGCATAGGATTGACTCTGTTGCGGCACCTCTGGTGGGCGCCGAGGTCGACTTGCCCGACGACTATGTCCAGCGGCGCGGGGCGAGCAGAAGACGCGTGGACGCGACGACAGGGAAACACAGAAGTACCGTGAGCAAGAGTAATTGGGGTAGCCATTGAGGTCGCTTTTGTATCCATTTACACATTTACCTCCACATATGGTAGTACGTACACAGCAGAGCACAGCAAAGCGTGGCAGTGTCGGTAAAGCTGGCGCGTCTTGAAGGCGCGTCAAGTGTGGCGACGACAGAGCTCTACGATCACCTACCGGTCCAGTTCTTTAGAGATCTGACTGTGCGGGAGCGTGGGAGGCCGCCTGGCAGAAGGAAAATAACGCCTGCGACCACGACAATACCACGAGGACAGTAGACAGAATGCGGCTATTATCTGTAGTTTTCGGGACACCTGGCCAGCAGCTCAGTTGGCGCGATGGGATATTCCCTCCCATACAACTGGGATGAGACGAGACCAACTACCATGATCTCAAATACACGCGCTTAATCAGGCCACACCGTCGATGTGTGGATCTGGTCAACCAGTCAGCCAGTCATGGGGAGGGGATGAAAGACGAAGATCTTGGACTATTCCAGACGGCCAAAGGAACACTTGGTTGAAGAAAGAATTACAGATCCTGGCTGGCGCGTGTCAGGTGGAGGAGCAGTGACTGTCGTCACCTACCTAGCCTTGCTAGCCAGCTTTTAGGGGGAAAAGAAGGAAAAAAGAAAACGGCGCCCCGCTGATAGCTGTGCGGCATGATCAGCATCTTGATCGTTTGATTCTCCCTCTCCCGCGGATGCATTACAAGTTACACCCCAGAAGCCTCAAGAAAAAGTCGAAAATTCGGATGAAACTACAATCTCAATTACTTCTTAGCAGTAGGGAGGTGACCTAGCGTCGTTTGCCGATTGGTTCAATTGAGGGTATCCTAATCTTGTATGGCATCTCTACCATGGAAGAATCGTGAATGAGCGAGAGGCCCCTTAACGACCACACAGGTATTTTACCCCGGCTACGTCACCATCTCGGTTGCGATTGGACAGCAGGGGTGGGAAAACAAGATGCACCTCAGCATCGGCAGCCCCCGACCCGCACATCAATCGATTCAATCATCACTGGGCCGTCTGGGCTGGCTTGGGAGGGCAGAAGGGCAAAAAAATGACAAGACAGCGATTGCGCGCGAACACAAAGCCAACTTTTGTTTCGCGTGACCCCGATTTCCCCGGCTACTTACATCAACCTGGGGAACTGGGTCCAGGTCTGGGGCCTTTTTCAGGGCCCAGAGGGGCCCATTGTGCAGTGGTGGAGTGCAATCTTCTGCACTGCAAATGGGCTTCCGTGGCTGGGCCGCGCTGCTAGCGGGTGGAATTCGTGATGACGTATGTTGATCACGTCTGTAACCACAGAGCCACGACCGTCCATTGAACCACGCAAACTCACACCACACACACCACACACACCACACACACACACACACACCTGGACAGCGATCCTGCTTTTTACTTGGCTTGGAAACCTCTCCCTGCATCATAATGGAATGGAGGTACACTTATATCAGAGAAGCCCGCAGCTTCTCTCTGTTCGCCTTTTTTCTTTCCCTCCCATCAAGACAAACAGTAATGCTTCTTCACCATCCTCACTCTCACACACCCTTGACCTCTCACCACTCCTCACCTTAACGAAGATCGTCACCGTCGTCACCATGGCCAACACCGGCTTCTTCCACCACATCGGCACCTTTTTCTTACTCGCGGCGACTGTCCTGCTGATCGTCACCTGCATCTCAGCCCCTGTCGTCCATGACCTCGCTATCCTAAAGGTCGATCTCGCGAACCACCCGTCATCACAGCACGCCAATGTGGCATTCGGCACCTTTGGCTGGTGCAAGAACAACCTCGGCAGCGATGGAGGGTACGTTCTCAATCCCCTCCCAATTCACCTCACAGTGCCCACACTGACACAACACACAGAGACGACTGCTCCCCCTCCCAGCTCGGCTACTCCCCCGCCGCCATCATGAACCAAGTCGACGGCACCGACTTCTCCGACTACGCCTCCGACACCACCCGCGCCCTCACCAAGGCCATGGTGCTGCACCCCATCGCCTGCGGCCTCAACTTCATCGCCTTCCTGCTCGCCCTCGGCGCCGGGCTCGTCGGCTCCTTCCTCGCGTCCATGGTCGCCCTGCTCGCCTTCCTCGTCACCGTCGTCATCATGATCATCGACTTTGTCATGTTCAGCATCGTGCGCAGCAACGTCAACGACGACAACACGGGAGCCAACGCCCACTACGGCCCCGCCGCCTGGACCATCCTGGCGGCTGCCATCTGCTCCCTTTTGGGCACCATCATCGTCTTCTTCACCTGCTGCTCTGCCCGCTTGCATAAGCGCAGGCAGACGGCGCTGCCTGTGACTAAGGGTGATTATGGCGCGCCGGTGGCGGCGAGGAGGAGGAGGTGGTTCTAGATGGGTGCATGCCTGTTTGGGATGCCTCGCTAGGAAAACTTCTTTCTGTCGGTTCGCGTTGTTTTTGGGTGTTTTAATGAGAGGGGAAGCGAAATCAAATTATTGATACCATCTGGTTAGGGAATGTTTAGTTCTCTCTTGTTTTCTTTTATATATATATGCGCGGTTTAATGGCGCTACTGCGTCATTTCCTCCGGGAACGGGATGGATGAGATGGTTTTAATATTACAGGATGACGACTCACAGTCAAACTTGAAGCATGCAACACACATCATCTATATAATGCCTGTTGCTTCGGTGTAAAAACACAAATCTATATCATCAATTTGCGCTTACACACTTGCTCTTGTCTCATGAAGGTCTCCTTGTGATAGATATACTGGAGTAAAACTTGAGAAATCTTGTTCATGACTGGGTTGGGTCTATCTATATCTTTCCCTTTTTTCCAACTCAAGTCTGCAAGTTTTGTTCCACAAGATGTCTTCTCATCCAGGTAATAAGTACTCATCCATCCTCGGCGTCGATCGCCTCTGCCTCTGCTCCATAACATAGGCCCAACATTGCATCACATCAGCCCTGGCACAATTATCCATATAAGTGCTTGCCCACCCGATGTCTGCGCCTTTACCGGGGTAGTAAGCATAAAAGAATTTACGAGCGTATCCCTTTCCGCCATTCCATATCTCCATGTCCTGAGGTTTGGGCATAAAAGCAGCTGCTCGACCTGCAGCCAGCATTAAATTCTGGTTGTGCGTATACCGACGCCTATCCTTGTTGGGATAAATGCTATTTGATGTTAATGCCAGGCTTTCAAGATTCTTTCAAGGGCCTATCTTGTCTGGGGCTGCTATCGGTTTGGTTGGCCGGAAGCCGGCGAAGAAATCGATAGCATCGACAAGGAAAGCGGCAGATAAAAATCTGAGAGACCGGCTGGACTTGGAGAGGGCTTTGCCCAAGGCCATATTTGCACGTCGGTTATCGGGTCGGTCTGGGTTGAGAGACTCTGAAAAGTGCCCGAATAAAGATAGATGCCGGAGACTGCCGCAATATTTCACGAGAAACCACATGAGTTTGGTATAGTCTATCGTGCTGTCAGCTAGACACATGTTGGGGCTATCAGCGATGTGGAGAGAGGGGTTGCCTTCGTACCCTTTTCAAATGTCGTTTGTAGTCGCTGTTCAACATGGTGCCAAGTTTCATGGCGAAAACTCACAAGGCGTGGAAAGGCGCAGCAGAACTTTGCCAATGACTTAGGGGACATCCTCCTGAAGAACTGCCGCCTTATTTGCAGATAACTTATAACATCAACCTTTGGAAGTTCCCTGCGAAGTCCCGGAAGATCGGGGCGGATCGTTACTTGGCCCGTTATTCTCTGTCGTACTCCTAGCACGTTAGAAACTGCCTCCTCCTCCCCCTTCTCATGCTTGGCGACATCCAAGGAACCAAAGATGACGCCGTGAGGTACGCGAGCATTTTGAAGTCAGGTAACTCAATAGGCAGGAGCTGCTGGCGCTACGTGGTGGTCTCGCCTCCTCTTTTATTTCCTCCGGCATCAACCTGTCTCGAAGAAGGCGTCGAGGAAATCCGGTTGTTGCATCGTGACCCATCCTGCGCGGCCCCCTTTGTGGCAAACACTATCGTCCCCACCTTCCCCTTGCCAAACTTCACGTCTTTCCTTCCCCAACAATCCAGTCTCGTCCAATGACCGAAGCAACAATGACCTGGTGGCTGCCACGCGGCATTTCTGTAAGAAGTTTGCTTGAGCAGGAGCGAAGTCTGCGTGCAGATGC